ATTGATATGTCTATGTGATACACAAAAGAAGAAACCAAAACAAAGAGCACATTTAATCTGCAGCAGATGGGCAGGGCAGGGAAACACGCCCTCTTGTGGAACCTCCAGAAGTCACCACTGGCTAGTCCATGTCTCTATGAAACCCATTTCAACCCTGGACTTCCAGAACTAAAGGTCTCCAGGTTGGGCATTTGCCACTAAGTTGAAAGTAATCTCTTGGCGCCATAGGAAATAAATAGAGCTTAGCACTTCACAGTAGAGCTTGCACGGCAAGGGCCTCTAAAGGCAACTGGAGATAAATTCAAAATGTCATGAGGCAAAGTAAGGAAGACAAAAATAAAACTGTAGGAAGAGAGCAGACATAAATGTATTTATGAATGCCAAATGATACTCCTCCTGCACTAGAAATAATACAATGTGCTGTGGTTTAGATGAGCAACCCCGAAGGTTCACACACCAAAGGTTTGATCCCCAAGATGGTTCAGCTAAAGAATTGAAAAGCACACCTTGGGTGAGACCTTGTGAAAAGTCCTTCAGTCATTCAGAGTACTGCCAAAGAGGTCTTCTGTTCTCTACTTCTCACTTACAAGATCACTAATTCGTACTGTAACATGATCTTGCCATGACTGCTGACATCACTGACACCCAAAGACCTGGGACTATTTTATCTTGAGAAGAAACCGAAACCAAAACAATCCTTTTTCTCATTTTGACTCAGTTGCCTCTGGTACTCTGCCATAGTAACAGAAAGTTAACCAATATAAACACTAAGGCCAAATTATATCCAGTATAAAAGTAAAGTGGAAAATGAGGTACAGTATCCTTCATATGGATAGCATGGAATGCCCTCTTTAACTCTTGGAATACTAGAAAAGGAAAAGTATGTATAAGTGATAAAACTAAAAATGGATAACATAAAGAAAACCAAAAACCAAAATAAAGAGAATATCAAGAGCTCTAGGGCAAAAAATATGAGCCAAGTGTCCAAATGAGAATAACATTGAAAATATGAGCAAGGCACATAAATAAAATCAAAATGAGTCTGCAATTCTACATTTTCTAAAAGAAGAAACATTACATGTTTATATTTTCTGGGAAATACCCTCAAGTAGAAACCACAGCTCTCAAATGACATGTAATTAAATGTAGGTGGGTCTTTTGATGTTGTTTTGTGTGGGATTGCTTTTATTGTTGGTGTTGGTGTTTTGGTTTTTTACTGAGTCTTAGATAACATAATAAAATTTTGTGTGGATTATTTTTGATGATAGAATATAATCAACCTCTAGGAATACAGCTCTCCTTCAGCTGCATATAGACAATGAACCTATCCTAACAGTGTGATGAACAAAAGTAAATTGCTAAGATGTTTTTCAGTCCCTGAAAGTCAACTAGTTAATATTGGCTCAGTTCCAGGCATTATTCCTCCGTATTTCTCATTTGAATTCATTGTCTTGTAACTAAAGACAAATAAGACGTCCCAGAGAAAATATTAAAATCATGACAGCAGGTTAGAGTTGCTTTTAAAACATAAAGCTCAAAATGTAGCATATGAAGTTGTTTTAGAATCAATGTCTTCATTAGGGTTGCTACAACTGATAAAACACCAAAAGCAAAAGCAACTTGGGAAGAAAAGCATTTATTAGAGCTTACAACTCTCAAGTACATGTGGAGTATCCAGAACATTCAGGAAAGCAGAAGAAAAACCATGTCATCATGAAACCTAAATTCTATTGAGACAGAAGACAAAAGGTAAACAGCAAATAGACAAGACTAAAAAATACTTAAAAGTAAATGCAAATTTGGGAAATTTGGGTCATTATTTTTATAACTTTTTAATATAATACCTGTAAAACAAAAGAGTATACATAAAAAGAGCTGGAAGGGTGATTCCAAAAAAAAAAGTAAGGTAAATGCTCCACAGGTGAAAAAAATGACCTCTCCAAACTCCACAATGTATTAATGTAATATCATAATGTATCAATGAGAAAGAAGGTACATGGCGAAAATGACATTGGGGAAACAGACAGGTCCAAGGGCATGACATGGGATTTGTGGTCTAAATGTAATAGTGTTCCATGTGAGAATTGTAAACAGAAAATACATATAATCAAATTGGTATCATTTAACACTTGAATACTTATCTGCTATGATCTGCTATAATGGATTTGTCACCTAAAAAATCTTCCTTAACGTTTTGACCGGACACATCAAAAGAGATATGGATGGAGGCAAGACAATAGTAAAAATGGATAACTCTTGAAAGGAATGGAAACTCGGCTAGATATGGTCACAGAAGAAACCGACATGTATGGAAATATTTGAAGCCTGGAGTAAATGCAGATTGCAGTCTCTTCTGGGAGACAGGGAGAGTTAGAAAAAGTGGAGACTGAAGGACAGCTGCCCAGGTTTTCATTATAACCAATCTGACTAGTCAGGCTATCTACTGAGAAGCAATAAACCAGATGAGAAAAGTAGATATCCAAGGAGTTTTGCTGGGATATGAGTAGTGGACAGATCTGGAGAAGAGGGCCAGCCTGATGGTATAAAATATGGTTATCAAATGTGTAGACAATAAACCCATCAGTGTGAAGAAGACAACCTAGAGTGCTCAAAGAGAAGCATGGGTGTTAAGAGAAGCTTTTTCCTTGAGAGAAGCCTTCCCGCCAGCCTGGTTCCAGAGCCGCAGCAGTCCCAAATAAACACACAGGAGGCTATATTAATTATGAAGCTGTTGGCCTTGCTTGTTTCTTACTGGCTAGCTCTGACTTAAGTAATTACCCCATAATTGTTAATCTAAGTATTTCTCTTACCAGAGAATAGTTCCGGGCTTCCTACCCCATGGCGGTTACATTTCGACTCTCTTGTATTTCTCCTACCCAGAGTCCTTCTGAACTCCTAGTCCCTCCTATCTAGATTCCCTATTGGCCAGACAGTGCTTTATTGACAAATGCACAGGACTTCCCCAACACATGGGGAAGCTCATTTCCTGAAGTTCCATCACTCAAAGGGAAAGAGATGAGAAGCATTGAGTGAAGAAAGGAGAATGGGTAGGGGAGGGTTTCAACAAGGGAGGATGATGACTCTATCATCATTTATTGAGAAACAGAAGACACTGAGAGTCCAGCAGGCTTCTGATATAGAACCAGTGTTAATGTCAAAAACAGTGATCAGAGAATAGCAAGTGTAGAAGAGGTAAGCTATTTTAGCAATTGGAATAAAATGGGAAGTGGAAACAAGATGTATAGAAAACAAAGCATCAAGAAGTCTGCTGGTAGGCTGGCGAGCTATCTCAGTGGTTGAGGCGACCGACTACTCTTCCAGAGAACCCTGGTTCAATTCCTAGCACCTATTCAGCGGCTCACACCTGCCTTCTTCCAGGTATCTGTCACTTGTCTGGCATCCATGAGCACCAGGCATGTACATGGTGCACAGAGAAGTGCAAGCAAATACTTATACACAAAAGTAACACACACAATGGATTTTTTTATTTTTTGTTTAAAAACTGATGGAAAGAAAGCAGATTCTCAATAGAAAGGATCTGAGGTCAAAGGAGAAGCAATCCCCTGCACTGCAAGATGAACATGTAGACACCTAAGAATTAAAATGCAGAGACTGAAGCAAACCTGTCAAGCCTACTCCAGAGGTTTCATACTCTATTCACTAGATGGCTGAGCTCCTCCAATGGCGCCTTGGGGCTGCTGCAGGTTCCTTCCTTACAACAAAAGTTACTGAAATGTAATCCATCTTATGAACAAGGGCTTAAAATAAGATGTCATTTGAAAGATAATTGATCAAAGGAGAACAAAAGGTAACCGAGAAATCTTACCATATCAGCTTATTAAATGTCAGAGTACCTGACGAATCCATATATAGTGAGTACTCTTAATTATGTCCCACAATGAATCCTCAGGCAGAACACGATGATGAATTAAGCCTGCAGCACAGTCTCAGGATACTAAACAAGTTTGTCATTGTTTCACAGCCTCCTGGCAATGATAAATTAAGTAACTTCTTTTACTAAATCCTTCAGGAACTTTAATACAATCAAATCTTGATTTTTCAATAATTTTAATTAATACATTCCATACTCAAAATGACTGATAAACTTGAGACTCCTCAAACCTGTTTTAATAAAACTGACTCAAAAATAGAAAGACAAGAAACCCACAGACAGCCCTTGACAGCTGTGCAGACTAACTCTGTGTATTTGGTAAACAGTGGTTTTCATAAAGAGGTTTCCTGAGTTTGTAGATATGCAAAATAAGAGTTGAGCAATGATTTTAATTAAGAAAATAAAATTCAAGGACACAGCCTATCTTTTTATGTGAAAGCAGGTGGAGCATCTTGAAAGAGTAATCATTTCATGAGAAATCTGTCACTGAATTAGTCAAAAGCAAGGTTTTTTTTTTCCTGAAGGAATTTTTTCTGGAAAGGGTGTAATGATATTTATAACCTTCGATAACCTACTTAAATATGCATTTTTGTGTTAGCTAGTAAACTTGGCTTTGTTCTCCATACTCATGCTCTTGAGGCTCTTTTCTCTACCATCAGATATCTTTCCTTCAGGACTCTTAACATTTGTGCTGGACACATTATTGTTGTGGAAAACTGTCCTTTGCACAAGAGGGTTCTTGACAGTATCCTTTGGCTCTGTTGATACTCTAGATGCTGATAACAACATTACTCTGTCACCAGTTTCAATAATCAAAATTGTCAGAGCCAGTGAAAGGGCTCCATGGATAAAGGAGCCATACCGAACAACCTGAGTTCAATCCTTGGGACCTCATGGTGGAAGAAGAGAGGTGATTCCTGCAAGTTTTCTTTCGACCTCCAGTCCTACACTGTGGCACACACTGAGAGAGAGAAAGAGACAGACAGACAGACAGACAGACAGACAGACAGACAGACAGACAGAGACAGCGACAGAGAGACAGACAGAGACAGAGAGAGACAGAGACAGATTATACATTCTGATAAAAGAATAATGATAAAATGTTTACCCGAGGGTGCAATCATTCCACTTGGAGCTAGTGCTGTAAAAACTTGAGCAGCTTCTTCCTCTTGTTCTCAGCTGCTATTTTCATAGTTCTCAAGGAGGCACTTGGGCTCTCACGGAACAGATGAGGGTACTGTGACATTCAGACCAGCTGCTCAGGGAACTGTAATAGAGTGGAGGAAGTAAACACATCTCAGATGTAACTAAGTAGCATGACAATCGGCTCAATACATGCAAATAATGTTCAGAACCCAGAACAGTTCTGCTGCTCTGCAACTGAAGCCTGATCATAAAAAAGAGCCATTGACCTTCATGTGAGGAAATGGCAATAAGAGCACTTTTTAAAACGCTGTTATATCCGAGTCCTTCTATTAAAATCAGCAGCCTGGCAAAGCTACATGAAAAGCCTTGTCAAGACATTAAAGGCGGGCAGCTCGTGTTTGGCTGTGTTCATTTTACATGTTGTTGTGCATTACGGCACCAGTTTTAAAATGAAATGTCAGTGAGAAAAATACCAAAAGGGCAATGTTTTAAGGTAGAGCTAAACTGCCACCTAGAGAATAGAGAAATGACAGCACCTTGGCCATCTCTAGGTACTGCATGGAAAATACTAGCCAGCTGTCTTATACTCCAAAGGCCCACAAGCCATGTAAAACTCTTAGTATACTCTTAAGCTATTTTCAGTAATTTTTTTTAAAGTTTTAGCTATGCTTTTAAATTTTGGGGGTACAATGAGCCAGCATACAGTCTTTCAGAAGTTGAAAATAATAGCTGTCACTGCTAGACAAAAGCAGAGTGTCTCCACAGTGGACACTGTGCTATGAGCATTGCAAAGCAGTCACACTCAGGTGTTAAGGTAGAAAAGTCATTCCTGAAAATGCATTTGAACAATAACAGGTGTGATCAAGTGGCAGATGACTTTAAATGTTCATCACATTTCCTGACAATCATTCCTCCAAATGAAGTCAAATTTACAGCATCATGGAAGCTAAAAACCAATAGAATCCTTAACTTGGGTAGGGAAGATTGTTTAGACTGCCCAGTGGAAGCCAAGGAGTCAGAACTAAAAATAACCTGAGTTTGACTAAAGCATTACAGCACACCCAAAATTTCCAGGGATGTATGAGTCTCCTTTTCTAAATGTAATAGTATAATTGAACACTCATTAGGTTCTCCAGACCATAAACCATTGCCTGGTTAAGGTAGGCATTTGGGAAACTAAATGAACTCTCTTAGGCCATGAGGGTCCCATTTAGTAAATTACTACTTCAGTGCACTGCACGACACCCTTGTGGCCTGCTAGTGGATTCCAAAAGAGCTTAATTTACACACCGGGAGAACCCAGTGCTCATTAGCAGAGAAGGATGCCTGCTCAAATATCCACATGGAACAGAGACTACCATGGCCACCCAAAAGAAGAGTGGCTTAGAGAGTCATATGTCACTATCACAAAAGAGTAGACCCACATGATCAGGCCTGAGGCTGCCACATCACATGCCACAAGGTTTCATCTTAAACTTCGAGCTTCTTACTTATCTTGCCCATTTCCTGATAGGGTTTTCTGCAGTTTTGCAGAGTCACAGGCTCACTGGTTCCAAGGTGTTTTAAAGTGAGGAGAGTACCGGGCGTTGGTGGCACACGCCTTTAATCCCAGCACTCGGGAGGCAGAGGCAGGCGGATCTCTGTGAGTACGAGACCAGCCTGGACTACCAAGTGAGTTCCAGGACAGCCTCCAAAGCCACAGAGAAACCCTGTCTCGAAAAACCAAAAAAAATAAAAAAGTGAGGAGAGTATACACTTCAGAAGTGCTTATATGTCTCTCCCACATGTGTGCATCCATCTGTACCAGCGGGTCAAAAATCTGTATTTTTTAGGGCTGAAATTTCTCTCTTTTTTTCCAGATATTTTTCCTTGCTTTTATTATGTGTTTCAACAATTTGCAATGTTTTGCCAAGAGTTTGCCTTCCAGAATTCACCAGATAGCATCCACCCTTACACCCAAACTTATCTAAAAATAACACTTCTCAACAAACCAGAAACATATGTACTTTTTGCAAAGCTTCATCTGTGAAACACATTCATTGTTCGGTGACTTTCTTGGAAGAACCATTATTTAAAGATAAAACAGTTGGGGGCGGTTCTAGAGTGAAAATTCTGTGGTAATTTGGACATGGATATCTTTTGTTTCTTTTATAAGAAATAAATATTTTTTCTCACATAATGTATCTTGGTTTTTCTCTCCATATACTCCTCCCAGTTCCTTCCCACACCCTCTCCAATCCAGACCTATGCCCTTTCTGTCTCTGATTAGAAAATAAACAGACTTCTAAGGATAATAATAAAATAAAATAAAGAGTTCAGAATAAGGCAAAAACAGCCAAAAGGTAAAGAGCACAAGAAAAGGCACAGGAAGTGTAGACCCACTCACCCACATACTCAGGAATCCCATAAGACAACAAACTGGGAGTCATAAATATTGTAAGGACCTAGATAGATAGATAGATAGATAGATAGATAGATAGATAGATAGATAGATAGATAGACTGTAGACAGACAGACAGATTATTTTTAAGTAAAGAAAAATGCCTGACATGACATTATGAGAAAAGAAACTCCAATGATGTCTTTGAGTTTGTTTTCCTGTTGGCCATCTACTGCTATACATGCAGCCTACACATAAGAGTAATTTGTTTCCCCAGTTAGGCTCCCTTGTTGAAAACTAAATTTTCCTTTGCCAGTGGTTATCAATTGGAGATTGTTTTGAGTTTAGGGGTGGGGGCATGTGTCCTTTTCTCCTTTCATTGGTGCAGACCCCTGTTCATCCAGTGCATACTGCCTCGGTGTCTGTGAGTTAATATGACCTTTGATCATGTCGATTTAGCTTCTCTCGTGATGGCTGAGTAAGGCACTGATCTATGACTAGAGCAGAACATCATTAGGACTCTTTTGCTAGCAGTTTTTATTATTTAATTTGTTTAATTGTTTTAAATAGCATTATTCATTTTTACCCTAGGTCCCTGGGATTTCTAGTCTCAAGTTCTAGGTCACCCAAACAGTGTCAGGTATGAGTTCTATCTCACGGAGTAGGCCTTAAGTCAAAGCAGATATAGTTGGTTATTCCCATGAGCTTTGTTCCACCATTTCCCTAGCATACCTTGTAGACAGGACACATTGTATATCAAAGGGTCTGTGGCTGGGATGGTGTTTACATTTCTCTTTTAATAGCATAGGGAGTACTTTTATGTAACACACACACACACACATATATATACATATTATATGTAATAAATAAATATAATTATATATATGTATATCTGTAATTTTGAGTTCTTTATATATTTTGGACATTAGCCCTCTATCAGATGTGTAGCTGAAAAAAAAATCTTTTCCCACTCTGAATGACTGTGTCTTTAGCTATGCAGAAGCTTTTTAGCTTCGGGAGGCCCTATTTATTAATTGTTGATCTTAGAGCATGGGCTAATGATGCTCTGTTCAGAAAGTGTTTTCCTATGCCAATGAGTTCAAAGCTATTCCCCACTTTCTTTTCTGTCAGGTTCAGAGCATCTGGTTATATGTTGAGGTGTTTGACCCACTTCAACTTGAGCTTTGTGCAGGTGGATAAGTATAGATCTATTTCAATTCTTCTACAGGCAGCCCTCTAGTTTGACCATCATCACTTGGTGAATTTGCTGTCCTTTTTCCAGTATTTCTGGCTTCTTTATCAGAAATCAGGTATCGCTGGGTGGTGGTGGCACATACCTTTAGTCCCAGAACTCAGGAGGCAGAGGCAAGCAGATCTCTGTGAGTTCGAGGCCAGCCTGGTCTACAGAGTGAGTTCCAGGACAGCCTCCAAAACAATACAGAGAAACCCTGTCTCGAAAAAAAAACAAAAAAAATCAGGTATCTACAAGTGTTCCCTGGAAGTTCTAGCTTTTGTTGAGGGCTGGGATAAAATAAGGAGCTGGGAAAAGGAAGTTTGGAGAAGAACTGTGTGATGTCCTAGAGACAGGGGTGGGGAGGGGCAGGGAAGTCAAGGCCATAGCAGGTGGTCTACTACAGATCTGGGGATGAAACTAATGTTAGATGTGGAGGAGAGAAGGGAGAGGTGAAGATATGCAGTTTAGCCTGCTTGCTTCCCTGGCCATTCTTTGTTCTACAACACAAACCTAACACCAAGTTTTACTATTGTTTTCCCTTGTCAGCTGTTGCTTTATGGATGTCTAGAGAAAAACTCAGGATTTCTTTTGTTCTAAGAATTCTGTGTCAGTACCTATAGAAGCTGAATCAGAAACAAAAATGGCATTTCTGGTTTTTACCTAAACATAAGCATATGCACAAGCAGTAATTTTATGATTGAAGTCTCCCTATATCCCTGTGAGAGAAATATCATTTCATATGTCTCTCTTTAAATGCTGCCTCCTAATGATAACTTACACATTCATATAAATAGCAAATGATAGCTATTTATATCTGGAAATTTTATCTTCTGCCTTGGAGCTATGAATTTGCCTAATTCCAGATGATGTGAAACAGAACCACTCTTTATACAGTAAACATGTTGAACTTCTCCAATGCATATTTTGACTGAATAAAATGACATTTTAAGGCCCAAGAAAAGACTTTAGTCAGAAGAATACATTTCCCATGCATTTCAGAAGTCTTAGTCTAAAATACTCTGAGGGTCATTTCAGTATCAGCAACATGTGGTTATGTTTAAAAAACCAAATAAGCCTTCCTCCAGCTTGCCAAATGAGAGACTCTCCCTCTCCCCTTTGTGTCTGTCTATAAGAACCTATTGGGAACATTTTGTTTTGTGGGATTTTTGTTGGTTTGTTTGTTGTTCTAAGTGTAAACTGATAATCTTTTATAAGAAGTAAATAGAAGCATTGTCTGCATTTGTTTGTAAACCAAAAATCAGTAAATGAATTCATATATTACTATTTTTCAAACTCAGCATTAAAATGACCATATTTAAAAACATAGTGAACAGATTTGTGGAAAAATAACACCAATCAAAGGACTTCTTAATAGTAGGACAAACTGTCATCGAAAGAAGTGACATAGGATCAATGTGGTGGTTATGCCTATGATCCCAGCACTCAGGCATCTGAGCCAGGAGGATCACAAGTTTGAGGGAATCCTGGATTATAGATACACTGTTGGTGATATAGATAAATAAAGGGGAATCATGTCTACCTAGTGATAAATCTATGCTCCAGGAACTATACAATCTATCTTGCATGTTTTGTTCATGTAGATTCATACAGCCCCTTGCCGGAACTAAATCACACACCTCTGTTTGGTAAGTGAATTTTATAAACAATAGCTACCACATAGTTTAGTGTTAGTTTCAAAAGGGCTAGGGGAGAAAGAGTTGGAAAAGTAATAGATTTTTAAACATAGGTTTAGGAAGGGGTTATGAGCAGGACATGAAAGGAGGCTAACAT